TATTAGTGCTGCCGATGAAATTCAGTGAAATTTTCAAACAGATTCAACCAACAATTTCTCTATAAAAAATAGAATGGCGGCGGAAATTTTTAAACATCGCATGGCGCTTGTGATACTTTGGCCAGAAGGTGACGACATGCATACTGCGGTTGGAGTAGAAGAACGAAAATTTGGCCGTATTCTTTATGGTTGCGAAGCATACACTGGAAAAAACAACATATTGGATCTAGAGTCCAGACTCTTGAAAACAGTGACAAGAAAAAATACTCTCGATTCAATTAGATTTTCGCTTAAATCAAAAGGAGATCCGCTCAAATTAAGAGGCTTGGTTCTTGATTTAAGCAAAAATCCGATTGAAACAAGAGATTTTTTTCTTGTCAATGTTTTTAAGAGTCTGCACTCTAGAACCAATGTTTTTTTTTTTTTTTTTTTTTTCCAGTGTACGTTTTAAAAATTGGGGATATTTTATTTCTGTTTTGGGTAAATGTTAGTATTCTAGTAGGAGAATCTGATGTCCTGATTTCGAATTATTTTCCTTGATTTCCGGTCTGACAACGTTAGGTATCGTTTTACAAGGAGATAATATTGGCATTGGAAAGGGGGCGTTTGGATATTCATGCAGGACGATGCGCAAAACGAGGCCGAGGGAGAGGAGGGGGGCTGGAGAGGGGGGTGCGGGGGTGCTCAGGACGTATCAGTTACATGCCGTGACGCTACTCCGTGCTTCTTGATTAAGGTTATTTACGTTCCTGGTTCCAAATTGTTCAGCTTTCAAGTATATTCCATTAAGTCTCGTTGTGGCTAGTACACGAAAAGAGAATGTGTTTTTTCATAATACAAATTAATTCATCTGTCTCAACTTGATATCGAGCTCGAGTGAAACTTTTGATGACAAATTCAGTAGCTCAAGGTGTTGGCTCTGAATGGACAATGTAAATGAGTCAAAAAGTACATCGACGGTGCAAGTCGGCAATCACATAACTCGTTTGCGGTGTCTGAAAATCTCCGTAACTATGTTATTTTTTTAAAGGAGAACAAATGGACATGATTCCTTGCAGTTTTGCAGAATTTTCCTCGCACATAGAAGAAAAATCACGGCAGTTTTAAGGAATTACCGTTGAGTAGTTTTCCGTTTAAAGAATAAAGTATGACAGGAAGTCTGCGACGTCGCAAATCGAGTTATATGATTGCCGACTTTCACCGTCGACATCACATTTATTCTCATTAAAGGTTCACGCAGAAAAATTTGAAAATATCCAAAATTTCCAATATTAATTCATCAGTGAGAAATACAAATTCTTATTTTACGTCATGAATGGTGAATTCAGATTTCTCGCTGACGAAAAAAAACATAATTAACGTAGTTCCATCATCAAAAGGATAACACTATCGTGCGATAATTATGCATTCATTTCGACTGGATACATTAACATTGATTACATAGGTGTTGGAAACCGATTGAAATAATACTTGTTTCAATGTCGGATCCCTGTGATGACGTCACGTCTAAAATAATCTTCTATCAAAAGTCACACAATGATGGGATAATTGAAGGAGTGGAATCAAGTGCATTCTGTACAATAGAGTTCAAGGTCAAATTAACAGTCATTGCAATTTTACACCGACCGCAATTATTGAGTTTCCTCGTCGCGCTAAAAATACGAACTGCATTCACAAATTAACTGGCTCGATTTCCATTCATTAACACGACCGCTCTGCAACTGCAATGGAAAGTAATCAAAATGCAACGTGGTGTTGCCGTTTTCATCCCTTTATGTCCTAAATTATCATCTCATACACATGCTGTAAGGTTTTTTTTTTTTTTTTTTTTTTTTTTTTTTTTTTTTTCAAATCGGGCCGATTCACACCACAGTACACGCCAACTAAGTCTACGCACTTAAAGATTACGATAGAAGATCCGCCATCTTGATTCTTGCATTTACTTTTAGTGCTAAACTGACGTCACGCGATCCTCCGTCACCGTCTAATTTTTTTAATTAATTTACTGAAACCTTTTTAATCTCAAAAAGGTTAAATTAATTATAAAATTAATCTAAAAAGGGTAAAATTAATTATACAATTAGTTTTAACCTTATTTTTCAGAGTTAAGAGAAAACGTAAAAGCAATATACTAATAAACCCTCCATAAACACGCTACAAATTCAAGTGTACTGAACGGATCTTACTAAAATTTTACAACGATTTTTATTTTAATTAATGTAACAAATCTGGTGCGAAAAGAACGTATGGTTTTGTTCTTCACCTTTGCGGGGTTTCTCAAATCCCTTTTTTTGTGAATTTGTCTCGCTCGGACTTGGAATGTAGCGTCTTCAGATCCCCTGAGAACTTTCAACGTCAATGTTATTCTTCACCAATTTCATTCCTTACAAGTTCTGCCGATTAGAAGGAATTAGAAGGATTAGAAGGATTGTGACTGCCGATCATGTTTTATTGAAAGTCTGTCTCTGAGGTGTTTATCAAGTCTTCAATACTTTCAAACGAGAATTTAATTGCACAATGGTGTCAACCGATATTCGCGATGAGTTTTGTGCATGTGACAACGTCTATAAATTTTCCAAATTATTTGATTTGAGATTAGCGCCTGTGTACCTCAGCGAGAGAATGAAAAACATGTGATTGCTTTAATCCGCAGAGCAGAAGATAAAATCGCAATTTTTGCCTTCTTTTGACGGTTTCAATCACAGTTATGAGCACGTGTACTCAATTCCAGTATCAGTAGCACTCATCATTCACTCAGTATTCGGCAATGCCCCTGAAGCCCATTCGAATCGTTGTATTGAATCGCTATCAGACGTGATAATTAGATGACTCGGTAATTGATCTCAATTAATTAGTTGCCACTCAATCCTCATTTTCATAGAACGTTCGTACATGGAATGATGAATGAAATGTGAGGCTTTTGTTGTTCATTGATTAGACATTGACCACCTTCAAATGGACGTACTTCTGCCAAACGGAACTATGTGCATCATGACGTGAGCCCTGTTATACATGTATTTTTATGGGTATCAGGGTTCATGTCTTAATGCACATAGGTCCGTTTGGCAGAAATTCGTCCAAATCTAGAATGCGTCTGAGAGAGAATAATGTACATGATTTTTTGCCAGATAGTGTTCCGCTTTTCATCTCAAAAACACATGCCACGGTCAATGATTTTAGGGACAGAGTGTTCGGTTTAGATATGTAGTAAGGATGTATGCCCCCGACCGTTTTCCTGTCCAACCCCCTGAAACATTTCGGGACCAGGCGTTATGCGTTATGCGTTACGCGTTACTCTTATGATTTTATACCATCGAGTATAATTTACGAATCGACTACCGGGAGTAGGATAATGGAATTTCATGTTATTTACCGGCTGAGTTTGGCGCATCCTTGTTTTGAACGAGGAGGAGGTCACATGAAAGTTTCTACGGACTTTGCCATATGAATTTTCGCAGCCTGCAGTTTATTCGGAAACGTTTATCGTCGTCATACGGACTGCGTAAGCAGTATTAATTTCAGGAATATTTTGTATTCCAAGTCAAAGAAAGATAAAAATCGACGATCGTGTCATATTTTTTCGGACCATTTTGTTACAACGGTACGTTTTGTTATCACGACTTCAAGAAAAAACCAAATAAACCGGGTCTGTCAATTTTTTGATACTGTATTACTGACCGTGTTAATAAGAGGATTTCATTCAAAGCAGCACTACCCTTAAATGACTAACATTATTTTTAGGAGAAAAAAATATACAAATTCACTTGCACATAAAATAAATAGAATTGATAGTCGACCATATAAATTTTATGAGGAAGTATGTTTTCATAGATTTTAATAATTTTAGTCATTTTATAATTTTGTGCAATCCGTCTTAAGTGTTTATTGACCTCCCAGAAAAATTGACAGGGCTGAATAATATTTTTACGGCGGTTCTAATCTCTTACAACAAATTAAACTTCTTAATTGTGGCTTGATGTGGTGGCTCAGCTAGATCAAGATTCTTCCTTAATAATCAGAATGAATTTTTGTGCTGTGCTTGTCAGCTGAGCCATAAGGACTTAGCTTGGAACTTAATAAATTTTCTCCGGGTCCACTGAAGAAAAACTCCGGCCCTGGAGGCCGTACTTACGGGCTATATATGTCGCAGGCAATCAGCAATCGCCGGCAATTTGCAAGCAGTTCACACGTCTTTTCAGTAAATCGCAATAATGCAATTTTTAAGGGATATGGTCTTCAAAAGTATGAGCTCGGCTTGAAGCGCCTTCATTTTTTGTGATACTCTACGCTTTGTCACGATGTAAGTTTAGTTGCCTGTCCGATCTCGACCCAACTAAAGTCGCGAAGTTCACCACACGCTCTTCTGAGTGTGCATATTCCTGCCATGTTTTAAGGATGGATAACTGTCTATTCACATTATAGGCAGCACACTCAGCACTCTAATCTTGTTCCTTTATTTTTGAATTCATGATTTTCTATTTTTATTCACTACTGGCTTGTAAATTGCCGACGATTGCCAATTGCCTGCGACATATAGACGTACACTGGAAAAAAAAACACATTAGATCTAGATTCTAGACTCTTGAAAACATTGACAAGAAAAAATACTCTTGATTCAATCAGATTTTTACTTAAATCAAAAGGAAATCCGCTCAAATTAAGAGGCTTGGTTCTTGAATTAAGTAAAAATCCGATTGAATCAAGAGCATTTTTTCTTGTCGATGTTTTTAAGAGTCTGGACTCTAGATCCAATGTGTTTTTCTTCCAGTGATATCGTCCACGCTCCGGGCTCAGAAGCCATAGGTATCGGGCGTAGCACCCGGAGCAATCGAAGCTACGGCTCCAGCACCCGGAACTTTCGGTCTCTGAGCCCGGAACGGACGGTATATCTATATTGCCCGTAGCTTTTTTTTCAGTGTCCAATAGCAGACATTATGTGTACTCATCCTTGCCGAAAATTTATTTTTCTCAAATGCATTTTTTATTTTGGTCTGTTACAGACGGTCAATGCAGTGTCTGGCGGACGCCGAAGAAGCTTTCGAATGCAGCGCCGGCATTCGCCCTCGTCCGTGAGGGATGGCTTCCCGGAGCAAGCTGCAACCAGACGAGGGGATTCCGGTGAGGTGACCCTCGCACCCAAGAAAAAGGATCGCAAATGGACGCTGAGCGGACTCTTCCGACGGCGGAAAAACAAAAGCAGCGACACTGAGAACTCCTCCTCGCTGGAAGAAAATCTACCCGACAACAGCAACAAACACAAAGGCAGCTTCCTCAAGAGGAAACTCTCCTTGAAGAAGCATCACAGCGGCAGCCGAAAAGTCGTAGGGAAATTCGAGTTCTCGAAAAACGTAACCAGCAACGACAATCACGAAACGTCTCCAACAAATAATCGCGACTCGCACTTTACCGGTAACAGTTATGACAAACTCTCTAGTCTAAATTCGTCCTCACTATCATCGAAACAGAAGTTCGACTCTCTGACTCTCCTGCAAACAGGGTCCAGCTGCGGGTCCCTGAACAGCTCGGGCAAGAGAAGTGCTAAAAATGAGGTGAAAGCGCGCGTCGAGGCTGAGCATGATAAATTAAAAGATTCGTCCAGCGACGATGAATTTCCGCACACCCGAAAGTACCACAGCCAAGACAATATAAACGACTCCCTGAAACGGAGGTCACGGGCGGCGCGCACGGAGAGATACTTAAAACGCCTCAATCAGATCAACAATTTGCCGTATCACCAGCAAGCCGAGTTACTCAGAATGCTCGACCGAAATAAAATCAATATGACCAACTTCGTGCTAGAACCCCAAACTTATCTGAAAGCTCAATCCGCAAATTCTAGTCTCACCAATAGTCCTTTGCCTAATATAAAATTTACCTTCTGTCCAGGTGCGCCGAACAATAACCAGAATAATCTTTACGTTAACTTGAATCACTCCAAGCACCACAAAGTGACCAAGTCTTTCTCCAAGCCCTCGCCGATTTTACCGAGGCAGGGCTTGCGGCAAAGTGATTTTCACAACAGTGTCAATTCGGTCGACGATAGACATATTTACATGAACGTCGCCAGCCCCAATGTGAGGCTTGAATCCAAGGTACCACCCACGCCCCCGCCGCGTGATCCCCACAGAAAAGTCATCATGACTTATTCGAGTCCGAGTTGCGTCGGTTATCAACAGAGACCTGTTTCGTACGCCTTCGAAGCCCCGAAATGCACTTCCGTGGATAACTTGCCCAGCCAAAGCAAACCTTTATCAAATTTGTGCTGCGGCGCCAATAACCAGAGGTCGAACTCTGAACAGCACATAAGCAATGGCTCCGTTTATTCTCCTGTCAACGACAGGCCCGCGTCTGTGCTTCAGTTCACCTCAGATATCGATTATTCACCAACCCCCGTCGACTATCAGTACATCACAGATCAGAAACCGCGGAGTCGGCGGCCCATCCAAATAGAGTGCCCTGAAGAACATAGCAGCAAAGAAAGTAATAATTTAAAACCTAATAGTAGGCTCTATTTTAGTGATCAGCATATAAATAGCTACCGATTTGAAAATGGCTCCAATTCGAGGAGCGTGATTAACTCATCCGAAGATCAACTTTGGAAACAGGGAGACTCGTCACGTCTGTCTGATACGGCAGTTACGAATGCAACGTACAATGCAAATACGGCAACGAGCGGTAACTCTTATATCCAATTCAACAAACCCAATAAAGCCGAACAAAGTCATCTAGATTGTAATTCAGAGCACGCTTCCAGCCCAACGGCGTATCTGTCTCGGAGAAATAGCAAGGAGATTGGCCAGCTCGTTCGACCTCTCTCGATGGTGCTCGAAAAGTCCGAGTCAGAGGTTGAGTCCTCCAAGCCTGATTTACGCGCCTCGAATCGCTCAAATCCCAAGTCTCTACCTCCAGACCCTCCGATTCGCAAGAATTTCAGTAACGCTGGTACGAAGCGGGTCGCCTTTGATCGATCCAGCGAAAGAGTCCCTTCTTCGCCTATGGATCCCTCTCAAGGATTCCCAATGGACTCCGTAAACTCTGTTGACATAGATCAGTTGCTAGAGTTTAACAAACAAAATTATCCATCGTCCAATTTAGAGGAGGCCTTGAACGAATTGGAGGAAATTTACAAAAGCTTACAGTTGAGCGACGATGACCTTTTGGACCGAGCGGAGAGGAGGGACGTTCCCGCCCAACTGCATGCGATTTTATCACGGGATTACGAGTCGGATTCCAGTTGTGACGAAATCGACGGAAGCATAGCCAAACGCCGCCAACGAACACGAAGCTTATCGATGGACCGCAAAAAAGATGATATGGCCTACCGACGAATCGTTAAGAGTGACAACCCAAATGTTGTGCCAAAACTAGACACGAGGAATATAATGTCTCAAGCCGGAAGTTTCTTACTTGTCTCGCCGACGCTTGCTCCGCCAGTATTTCCGAATCTGTCCGAGCCTCCGATGTCACCTGATTTAACCAATGAGCCAGACGTCACGTTTGACGATGTCGTTTTCCGATCAATCAAGCATGTAAACAATTCATTAAGGACGTTGGATCCTCAACCGCCGTTCGGGATACCCGTTGGACCTATCACTCAAGCGTCTAGTTCAGATTATCTCCATGCTATACCGGAGGACAGGTACAAACCTACATTTTCCTCCAGAAAAACACCCGACGTCGTCAAAGATGATCTAGCTTTCCGTAATTTGCGTAAAGACCTGAATCAAACTCCGTGTGAATATCGAAAAAAGCGCGCGATACGATCTCTGTCAGCAAATTTAAGCGGAGTCTTGAGTCGGGCTGAGAAGTTGAAGTATTCATTCCCTCATCCCCTGTCTTATGCTCGATCCTCAAGTTACAATGATCTACCCAATGAGTGCAACACGAAATACCATCCGAATTTGGAGCCCTCCATATCTCAGATGTATTCCTCCGCAAGCACCGAGTCACTAACCGACTTTGACGTTAGTGAATTTCTGCGCCACAAAACACCATCAAATTATGAGGAGTTATTACGGAAGTTTAATAGCAAGTTCGAAACTTCCACACCGAATGGGAATCCAGATCAGATTGATCAAGAATATGATACAAAGGCATCTGTCATGGGGAAAAGTGAAGTCCAGGAACTAGTACAAGCTATCGAAAATAACGAGTTAAACAAAATCTCTACAAATCAGGAAAAAACTAGCCAGCCTAAGGTGATTGTACCGGACACTCGTGATTCAGTTCAACCTAAAGACACCAAAGTTGCCAACTGTGACCCTGTCTCGGTCGTAGAATCCAAGGATCGATTTCATAATTCGCATGACTACCCTGTTAATAAGATCTTCGAAAATGCAAAAGATCACAATGATTTCAGAGACGCAAGCAGGAACGAATTAATAACGACATCTAATTACAGTCCCGCATACTCAACTGAATCAAAAGTAGGTTCAAAACGCCATCACCGCTCTACTAATTTAAATGATTTTGCCAAAGAATATGAAGAGAACATAAAAGAAGCCCCTTCAAAAACAGACGGGCCCCAAACAGATGAAAACTGTAACGCTATTTCTGAAGATGATGGAAATAAATCCAAGTCCAAAGTAGAAAAATTAAGCTCAAAATCAAGTTCTAAGAGGAGTGAAAATCTGAATGAACTGAGAAGGAATATTGTTTTGAGCAGTAGTATCTCGTCTGGAAAATGTGAAAAAATTGAAACATCTACTAAAAGTAGTACGACTGAGTTGGTATCACCAGGCCTTGCAACGAATGAAAAGCGAACTTCTCCAGAAAAATCTGAGAGAACCTACCTGAAAAATCAAAGCACATCACTTGAAGATTTTGCAGCTGAAAGTAAAAATGTGAAATCTAAAGAGCGCTCATTGCAGAGCTCAGAACAGAGTTCAAAGAAAGTGTTCGAGTTGAAAACTAGACGTCATAGCAAGATAGAAATTCCTGAATATTTCGGGAAGAACAAAGATGATAAAAGTGTATCGTTGTCTCATGAAAAGTCCAACGCAGATACTGAATCTATGAAAGTTTCAAGTGAAAGTCCGAAAGTAAAAAAGAAACGATTAAGTAAAATAGAAATCCCTGAGTTGTTTAGAGAACACGAAAAAGAATTATCTACAAATGAACATCAGATGCAAAATTCTACGGTAAATGCTGCTTCTGAGCTTGATTCAAAGTCCTCAAGAACTCCAAAATTGAAGAAAAAACGATCGAGTTTGACTGAAAGTGCTGATTCTGCAAAGGAAAAGAAAGAAAGACCATCTTCAAGTGCGAGCTCTGTGAAAGACACGGTCGTGAAGAATAGTTCAGATGATAAAAAATCTAAAACAACGAAGAGTCCGAAGTTGAAAAAGAAGCGGCTCAGCCAGATTGAATCTCCTGAAAAAGCGGTTGATAGTCATGAGAAATTGAAGTCTAATGATAAAACGGCGCAAGAAAGTAAACCGTTAACTGGCAAGTGTGCAGAACCTGAATCGAGATCGGAGAAAAGCTCAAAAAAAAGTAAAAGACTTGGTCAAATGGGAGTTTCTGAAAAATTTAGGAAAAGTATGGAGCATTTAGCGTCTAGTTATGCAACTGAGCAAGAAGCCGACCTTAAATTTACTAGTACTAGTAGTTCCGAAGGTGATTTGGCGGCAAAAGCCTCAAAACTTTCAAAATCTAAAAAGAAGCGTCCAAGTCAAGTTGATCTTTCCGAAAAAACTCAGAGTGCTCAAGAGTGCTCAATCCTTAGCAGTAGTCAATCACAAGCCGCGGTTTCAAAATCAAACGACAGTAACGAACGTGTCTGCAAGTCTAAGTCATCCAGAAGTCCTAGTATTAGACGGAAAAAAGTCAGCGGCGAAAATTTGATCAGTATTGATGTGATAGAAAATGATACAACGCATTCTGAGAGACAAAATGTTGACTCTGATCAGCCAAAAATCACTGCTTCCGAGAGAACCTCGGAAAGTTCAGGTCATCGCAGGAAAAGCTCTGGACAGTTAGAGATCCCGGAAATTTTTCGAAACTCCAACGACAGAATAAACTTGCTAGAAAAAGATAAAGTGCGTTCTGAGAAACACCCTGTCGACTTTGAGCCGAAAGAAATTGCTGTTTCAAAAAGAACATCTGAAGATTTGGAACAGCGTAGGAAAAGCTCGGGTCAATTAGAAATTCCGGAAATATTTCGAAATTCCAACGAAAAATTAAATTTATCGAGTACTTTAGCTGAAGTAAAATCTGGTGATAGCTCCAATGAAAATGTCAAACAGCCCAGTAAAATTTCAATCCCTGAGGTATTTCAAGATAGCTGCATAAAAGCAGGCGCCAAGGAAAGTTTGACATCCAAAACCATCAGAGATGTCAGTTGTGAAAACTTGAAATCAAAGGAGGGATCCAAGGAGACTCCTTCTACACAAATTATTAGCACAGCTACGCTAAATATCTCACTGGAAAACGCTCCTTCCATTGCGTCCAAAATTAATGTAGCACCTTCTCAGAAGACTTTACCATTGAAATCTATTCTCAAAAAAACTGAATTCAAAAGCGTAGAAACAAAGGTGAGCACCCCGGACGCGACTACGATTTCTGAGTTTGTAGAAAAAAGTGGCGAGGATTCCGGGGTCATTGTAGAGTCATTGGGTGACGCGTTCTTGAGTTTCAATGACAATGTCGAAAAAATTGAGACTTGTGCGTCAAATAGTCTAGATATTGATCAGAAAATCATCGCTGATCGTCCCTCATCACATGTGTACAGATCGGAGTCGATTTGCCCTGTCCAAACGGATACACATTCCATAGTTACCGAGTTATCCGAGAGTCAAAATCAAACTGAACTTGTGAATAAAGAAATCGAAAAGATCTTGAAGAATTACGAAAGTAAGGTGTCTGAAGCTGGCTGCGCTGGAAAACCCAGCGCTGTCGTCTCTTCGAATCAACAGAACGATGTTTCAAATTCTTTGGCTAACGAAATAAATGTTCTCTCCGCAGAGAATTGCAATGAAAATTCGTTTTGCAATGAACCAGATCGAAGAGAAATCAGCACTATTATTGAGTCTTTTGCACCCCTCGAAAATTGTTCTAAAGAACCGGATTCGAACGACAAGGACGAGATAGTAATGGCATTAAGTGAGCTGACTTCAAAACTGAGCACCCCTGCTCTTGTCACGGCCAGTAAACCAGAATTAGAACCGCTCACTCAGAGTCTTGAAAATCGTCGAGAACTTGATGTTACCAGCTCAGCAGACCCAGTGAGTTCCCCTGCCTCTAAACCTCCTCAAAGAAGCCCGGAAGAACGGAATGGAAGTAGCCAGCCGCTGATCCGAAGAAGTCTAAAGTCTGCCAATCAGAGTTGCTTCACCAAAAGTTCGAGCAGTTGCTCTGACTTTGAAGGTATTGCCCTGTCTACAAGTTCTTTGTTGGCAGCATCATATTGCTTCGCATGTCTGCTCCAGTCAGATTACTTGAGTTTAGTGAACTTGATGGCTGCCATTGTCGTAATAGTTGCATGTTTTGTTCTGTACCATGTTTTAGCTGCTGAGTAACTGAAGTAGGATTTCGCTCGTGCTGTATCTATTTGTTAAAGCATTGACAGTGCCGTCTCTTTAAAAGCTTCGTTTTTTTGTTTGTTTGTTTTATCTAATTTTATTATAAAAAAGGAGAGTAACAGAAACAAAGGGATACTCGTACAATCTTAAAGTGCATTTAAGTATCTAGTAAATATTCATTGTTGATAATCATAAACTTCACATCTAATAGACGTTGCAGATCTAAGATCATTTTCCATATTTTGCAGAAATTACGACCCAATTTTTTCATTTGTGACTATCTTTTCTCGTGTCTAATTTTTTGTCACCATTAAAGATTTTAAGTTTTTTTCAAAATAGCATCCAATAAGTTCCTCTCATTGTTAGACTGATTATCAATTCTTTATGAAGAAAAGTGTGCCATCAGTATTAAAATTAAAGCTCCTATCATTATATTGATGCTGGCCACCATCACAGTTTCCTTAAAATCATGCATTCACATAAAAAGTACGTTCAAAGCTTGGAAGTCCTTTTAGACTGCTTCATTTTGTGAATTTAAATACTCTGTAGGACTTTTCCCTTCGTGTTTGTTTTCGTGTGTGTGCGTTTTTTTCTTTAATTGCATCTCATTCACTGTTTATGCATGTCCTCTCACGATCGAAGTTTTCAGAACATAATAGTAGAAATCGCGGTGAAGATGGGTTATATTATTACATCATTATTCCTCATTTGCAAAGCAAACTTTCAAAATTCCAACAACTGAATCGCATATGTATTTCATTTCATATTCTTACGATTCTTTACTGACATTGAGGGGCTTTGTGATAACGCGCAAGATATTAAAAGCCATCGTCCCCTTTAATACGACGAGTGCATCTATTGTCTTTATTTATCCGTTGAATTGGATTTCTAAATTTAGACTAGGGGTGCAGCATGTTCTCGGCCTAACGACCGATCGGTCGTTCACAGACTTCGTAAGCATGGCAATGGAAAAATTGCGGAGGCTACGATCTTGAATAATGAGTGATCTAAATTGATTACGCTCAAAATGTATCTCATGTTTGTGTACACCTCCTGAACTTGTGTACGCGCGTCATTACCCCATGAATTTCCAAATAGCGTACACATCTCGGAATTTAGTGCGATTTGCGAGTATAGAACCAACAGGGGGATCAAAAATCGGGGTCTGTCGCGAGCTCGGGGAAACGGCGTAATGCTTGAAGTATCCCAACAGTTTTGCAGGCGCTTTCCGTGATCGTTCTTCGCGCAAAGCTCAAAATCTTGGAATCTTGGAATCTTAGGAAGCTGAGATCCCTTTTCACAGATCGGGTCACAATTATGCAGCAACAAAACTTTCTCGAATATCCGCAACAATGAAAAAGAGCCAGGTCTCTTTTCCGCTGACTCAGAGATTTTAACGCTGGGTAGAAAAGTTGCATGGGGCAAAACACGCGATACAATTATTGAGACCTCCAAGTAGGTAAAATTGCATACCTACAAAGCGAAGGGGAACATGGTGTCCTGTAGCATCTGAACTCTTCAGTTCGTCAAACCCAACTTTCAGTTCGTTTAACTGAAGGGTCGGTTATAAAAATATACTTATGAAAGAAGTTTGGTTGCATGAACTTATCGGCTTCTAAAAAGTGAACGCTCGACGTACTAATTTTGACAAAAACTTATGACCAGGATGTTGAATGGTATTTTCTAAGAATTAGTGCGAACGCACTGATTTTTACGAAACTAGTGCGAGAGTCTTGAATTTTTTAGAAAATAACTGCGGAAGCGTGAATTTTTTCAAAACGTTATCACAAAAGCGTTAACATTTTGAGAAATCTACTGCGAAAGTTTTGAGTTTTTAGGGTGGCAAGTCATTTTTCCTAAAAAAAATGTTTCTTACTCCAATTTTTCCTAATACTTTTTTCCTACTGGTTTTTTGTCCCATCACAGTTAGTCCTACGAGTGAGATGTCTTACTGGCTTTTTTCCTATGGGCATCTGTCCTAAATTCAATTTTAAAACTAGGGGATCGAGAAAGTAAAAAAACAACATAGATACCTCACAAGTTAAAGTTGTGGCCGCATGCCCGTAAGTAGTGGAGCTTCGTCCTCCTCCTTATATTGAGGGTATAGAAGGCTCAGCTTGTGATGTCTCCTGTTCACGCGCTTATATTCGGCTCGCTGAGAAAACTTTACTCTCTCTTTTCCGTCTACTCTACTCATGTTTACGTTTCAATTATTATTGGATTATTAGGACAAACACCCTTAGGAAAAAAGCCAGTGGAACATCTCACTCGTAGGACTTACTGTAATGGGACAAGAAACGAATATGAAAAAAGTATTAGGAAAACCTGATGTAGGAAAAAAAATTAGGAAAAATGACCTAGCACCGTTTTTAGAAAATTAATGCGACCGCAATTGATTTCTCGAAAATTACTGTGAATGCGCTGCATTTTTGAGAAAGTTGCCGCGAACATGCAATGTCAAAGTGTGTAGGCTGAATCCCTGCTTACTCGAAATTGCGTTGGCCGAAGAACTTTCTGCACCCTTGATTTAGACGTCACATTATCATTTTCAAGCGAAGGGGACGTAATAGTTTTCTAATCTTTTCACCGACGTCGTATATACATGTTGTCCTCCCTTTCAAAGAGTGGTGAAAAGGAGAAAAAACCTAGGTTCTCAATACCTGTAAAATTTTTAAACATCAAAGATAACCGTGTAGCTCAGTTATCATTTTTTCAATGAGATCTGTTTGTAAATTAATTTAGGCTCGGCGATAGTGAGTGTACCTCATTTTCGTTTCTCGATTCCAAGGTACAAAGCTTTATTTTAATTTTTCCGTCACGAGCCGAATCGTACCCGGTGCATATCCCCTCCTACTCCCTTTGATGAAGTCTGAGGCACCCTTTAATAGGAAATCATAAAACAAATAAAAAAAGGAATAAGTATCGTACTAAATTCGGTATCAGAAACAGGATGGAAGATAGTTGAGTTGGTTTGACTTATCCGTTCAGGGGTGTGTTTCTCCTCCAATATTGTTGCTACGTTTTTAAAGTCTATCAGGAGCCATTTTTAAAACATAAGTCTTGTTATTGCACAAATTTTGTTAATTCTATCTTATATTGTTGAAAGTTTTACCAGTTTTCCCCCATAAGTGTTGTAATTATTTTAACTATAGCTAAATTTACGTTTCTTTTCTCAATGAAACTTTTTTGTTAAGCTACGAAACACAGCTTTTTGAGCTTGCTTGTAAATATTTTTTTAATAAAAATGTCCATCAATTCTTTTATTTATTTCAATCATGGTTCATCATTTTTACAATTAACCCCCCTCCCCTGCCTGCCAGAACCAAGCAGGTTTTGAAGAGCCTAATATTCCAAAGAAAGTATACATATCAGTGGTGCGACTAGAAAATCTTGTATTTTGATTGTTTTATTTTGAAATCATTTCGCTCGTTCTATTACTTTCTGAAGAGGACAAATTATTATCTCTAGTTTTTGCGCGTCATTTTTAAATTGTATTTTCAAAATGAGACGAATAATCATCGTCTTTTATCTTACGACTAATAACTTTTGGTTTTCTTTTTCATTTTTTCAAATAAAATATGATAAGAAGTTTGCAAGCAGTGGCAACCAGATGCAATATTTTCTAGCTTCACCGCACTTATATCATTTAGTGCTCTTTATTTTCGCCATCACGCGTTTCAAATAGTTAGTGCATTAAATATCGCTCTGTGTTACTGCACTCTATTACTTTCACCTTTTTGTCAATGCCTGGATTATTTTCGAAGCATGATTAATTTCGAAATAAATTGTGAAATTTCAGATCCCATATTCGCTAAGTACTCGCTTACCTTTCTTGACAAATTGCACCGCATTTGCCCTTTTTAGATCTCCAAGACCGTTTCAGGCATCATAAGGTTTCATTTAATGAACCTGAAATACATTTTACGCCAGTTATTTGCTTCAAGTTTCCTTCAATTTATGTAGTCCAGCTGAAATTCTCTGCAAGTCCAAAAATACAACATGTTTTAGTTTTTTCCGTCTTCAAATTCACCACAATTTTTCAGCAGTAATTAGTGTAACATACCGTACAAGTTTGTTTCACTATCTATCTTAATACTAATACTGAAGTAAAGTTGCATTACTTGATTTGGAGGAGAGTTTCACAGCATGTCAAGATTCGTCCTATAAATTTCCATAAGAAATGTGGAGCCATAAATTTTAGGCCATGAGTCATTTATGGCGGAATGCAGGCAAGTACACGATTGTGGCAATGGATATATTTGTACGTATTGAAAATAACCTCTTTTTTCTCACCCAATGATCCAATAGGATAAAAATGTGGGAAATTAGAATCAAATATAGTATTTGTACTTTCGGAACAAATAATCCTTCTTTACGGATTACTTAAAAAATTGCGGCTCTTTTCCTCAGAATCGTCCCGTTATCGATGGAGTTGATCCGAGCTGGGATCATCGTAAAATTAAGGACCGAGTTTAGAGGATGGACACGATGCGTAGTCGAAAATTGATGTTCGATTATTGGCAATCCAACCATGAAGAATCAAGCACTAAAAACTTAGATCTATTTGCGTCTCGCCTCCAACTAATATCGTCAGTCCGCCGACTTGAGGGCGTAAGTCAACTTCCCTGTTTTGCCGTGCTAAAGAAGAACACCGTATGAGCCTTTAGACTGTGCCAAATTTTCTGTCATAAAATGTGAATTTTCCAGGAAACCTGTACATATTTTCCCTTCAATTCTCAGAAAATTTTACTCGGAATCAGATGTAAATTTTCTGAAAATTTCAAGAGATAATATTCATAACTCTCCTTATAAATAAACCTATTAGCGGAGAAAATGTGGCAACTCTCGATTGTTCTTACGGCGTTCTTCCTCAGTACGGCAGTGTTTTATATGTCTTTTCATGCGTCCAAGAACTTACTTGATAATATAGTTACGCCCCCGAGTCGGTATGGTAAACCCCGCTCCTTCTTTTTTTAAATTTGTGATAGTTTTGCAGATGTATGTGTGTTTGATTGCACCAATAGGGCTGTTGCAGGATCCAAAAATTGCCTTTAAAACAGGTATCTCTAAAATTAATTTAGCGAGAAACGCAATCCTGAGCTTCAGAGTGGCTCAAAAGAGGTTTTTGACTTGAAATAATAAGCTTAAAGTTGAAGCTCAGTAACCCCAACCACGAAAAATGTCAGTTTCTGTGACCAAAAAAATTACACAGAGAAAAGGACCTTAAGAATTAGGAAACAATCAATCTCAATTCTTAAATCTCTTCTCCTGTAGACCGTCACACCTATGATTTAGTTAGTTAGACTCTCGATTCAGTCAACTAGGAATTTATTTTATTACCGGTCAACTGATAAAATCAAATTGATCACTTCGGTCTCTAAAAATTTATGAGTAAATAAAACTTCCGGCGTTGCATTCGGTTCGTATGAGGACTGAGGAGGCACAAAATTGATTATTTATCGATTTTGATCAGTCTGACGCAATAATCCAACTTCTCATATGCGCATACGAATTGCTCATCAGAGACGAACCAACAGGTCCAATCCCGGATGAGTGTTACTCTGTGAGAATTCTCGTTGATCCTAGACTCACCAAAAAATAGGTCGTTACATTTCGGTTCGAACCCGGATCTATCCATTACACCAGTCCCGAAACGTGAATTATCGATTATCGATTTTTCCCCATTTGAAGCTATAGTAAAGAATTGACTAATAAAGGTGTTTGTTACGAACACACTGTTCATCGATCTTTTTCCATACGTTTAAATGGCGTAACAATCGATATGTAGCAAAGCACGCCACGGCACTACATCACATTGCCTCACAGACAAAAAGGAATAACTACCGTGCTTTGGTATGAATCGATTGATCGTCCATTGAACCTACAGAAAAGGATCGATCCAACCAGCAACCTAACAATCGATTATTTACTATAGTTCAAATGGGTAAATATCGATTGTCGATAATTTACGCTTCCCCACTGATCGCCCCGCGGACTAAAAGACGTAACGTCACTTTGAGATGAGCCTCGTCGTCCAACCAAATTCATGCCTTCCGCGGTTTAGATGAAAATGGGGTTGCGGCTTTTTGTCAGCATAGCGACTCCCTCATACTTCAGCGGACATCATCGCGTGGAAATCTGTCTCTCACCTGATCTACCGCCCTAAAGAAGAACGCCGTATGAACATTTTAATGTTGCCAAATTTTCTCTGTGGATGTACTTGTTCCTGAGGAAACAAGAAAAAATCACTAAAGAATGACCCGAAACGTAAGTAACAAGGTGGTAAAATAGTGCTGGTTCCACACTATTTTGCGGGGAGAGCAAGGTAAGAAAGTTCGAAAATTTCAATTCGAGTCTAAAATGTTCAGCCCTAATGAAAATCAGTGCAAGATTCAGGGTTGCCACAGTCCGGGAATACTGGGAGAACCGGCAAATGTCAAGGAATTTTAAAAAGTCAGGAAAAACCTGGAGATGTCAGGGAAAATAACGAAAATGTTGAGTGAAAATCCTCGAGTCACCTTTATTTGCTGTCTAGAAAAGGTCTGACTTTCCGAACAACAAATTTGCTTGTAAATTATTTCTAATTATGTCTTTTTGGCCTTACAGCATATCTTCAATTGCCAGAGAGTTTCACCGAACTGTGACAGAGAAATCAGGGAAATGTCAGGGAATTTCATTTTTTACATTCCGTGGCAACCTTGAAAATTGAGGGGGGATTAAAGCTCAAAATGGTTTACTCTAATTAACATTTTTGAAGTTTGCTTTGCGCGCAAAATAGTGTGAGCCCAGCTTTATTTTACCACCTTATTTTTGAGGAAAGTCATGAATACCTGTCTTCAAAAATTTTCAGGTTAATCACATTAAATTGCTGAAAGAAAGTCTGTAAAAATTTCAATGAAAAACTTTCCAACGATCTCTACGAAATTTGTATTTTATCAGATGAAGTTCTGCAACGCTCGACTGTCCATACGGCGTTTTTTTTCTCAGCAAAGCAGCGATCCATCGGATCTTTTCAGCGGTGATCGATTCTCTCATCATTCATCGCATCATCGTTCATCTGCCTGTCCGCCCAAAATCGCCAGCGCGGCGCCGCGGTGGGGCCAAAAGTTGCCTTTTTCCCGTGGACAGAAATCTCGCAGTTCTGCTTCGTGTAATCGATCTCCACCGCTTTCGGTTCGTCGAACAGGCTTAATCGCCCCTCTATATTTGGCTCTCCACATCCGTCGTTGTTCGACAAAATTTCTAGTCGCTCTACTCACCTCACTCGTTCGCCATGAGTGAATGTTTTCGACGACGAGCGGGCTGTAATTCTATCTTTTTATTGTCGTGGTTATTGGCGGTAGTGGAGGCTTCTCGTCATCTAGAATTCGTAAAACAATTTTAATTTTAGTCGCGGCTGTAAGGAGTCAAACAGTATTTTAGTCAAACACGTCCAATTTTGAGCGTTTGGTTGCGAATATACCCTGCTGCAGCACAGTAAAAGCACAAAATATAAAAGAAAAATTAAAAAGCTTTGGAAATCATTAAATTAGACACGGAACCACCTTAATATTTTCAAAATACACGTTTATATTTTCCTTTAATACATATTTTTTTTTCATCAATTGAAATGAGAATAATCCGTGCAGAGCGTGCAAACATTTCAAAATCATGAGTTAAAAAACGCTGACTCCGCGAGTTAAAATATTAGAGCCTAACACAGAGCAAAATGCGCACTGGCGCCTACAAACCTAACGGGATACCTCCCGCGTTGCGCAATACGTGAAGTATCCCTGTTATGTTTGTAGGCGCCTATGCGCGTGTCACGCTGGTCGCCCAGCGAAGTCCGGAGTGCTACGGCGTTTCAAGCAACCATTTCGCGACATAGGTGTTGCACAGTATTATACGAGATTGAAGGCGCTCCAACGTATCAATAATGACCAGCTTCCTTTAAGGGTAAAGAGCTTTCCTTGCAAAATAAATAAAGATACTACAAAAAGAGAGCGGTAATCTAAAAAAAACTCACTTAGTCCTAGCATCCGTATTTAACAAAGTTTAGCATAATTTTTGAATTTCATTAGAGAAAAATGCGACTCGATTTAGGCAGAAACATTCTTGAGTATACCGTTAAGAAGATTTTATTTTTAATAAAGAATAAAATAGCTGAATGAAAGAGGGTTTCTGCTTGATCTAAGTGACTTTTCTTTTCTAAACAAGCATTATTTTCTTTATCGATTTATAAAAAAATCTTCTCTGCTTGAATTAAATCACTTTTATTAAGTCACTTTTTCCTA